AACCAAAAGGCCAAAATAGTGACATATAATTTCCCAAAATGGCCTTGAAGAAGTCATCAAACAAGCTCTCACAAGCTGCACTTGTTAAGCATATCATGAAGAGGTGCTCAAGCTTAGGAAAGAAACAACATTATGATGACGTACCCAAGGGCCATTTCGTCGTTTACGTTGGCGAAAACCGCAGCCGCTATATCATACCAATTTCATTCCTATCGAGGCCAGAGTTCCAAAGTCTACTCAGGCAAGCGGAAGAAGAGTTTGGGTTCGATCATGACATGGGGCTAACCATCCCTTGTGAAGAAGAAGTCTTTCAATCACTTACTTCCTTGCTTCGGTTCTGAGTGAATTAGCAAGATTTACTAATATTATTTTCCATTTTTTTTGTTTTACTTCAGTTACTTATGTTAGATTTACTCTAATCATGCTTTAAAAAATTATTTGAAGAAAAACCCACAACTTGAAATGGGCCTTTTCAACTAATTTTGTAAATTTTAAAGCATTTTTCTCACAATATTTTTTTGATTTTTTTGCTTATTATTTGAAATTTATATTTGTCCGTTAGTCATTTAAATAATGTTAATGGTCACTTAATTACCTTCACTTAGCTTCAAAAAAACATTCTTTCTTTGTGTTCGACGATTAGAATTGCATGTTTCTGCTAGCCCTAGGGAAGCATAGACATTGTAGACTAGTTGAAACAAAAATGATAGATATGAAAGTTTAGAAAAGAAAAAGTTAATTAGATTAATAAATCTTTAGTATGTTTATCTGTAAATGTAAAGGAGTTGATTTCTTAGTAAAAAATTAACAGCTAAATCTTCAACAGTTACTGTATTCCTACGCTATAAGGCTACAGGGAGTCGTGTCACGTTTGCCACACTAGAAGTGTTGTCATGTAAGCGTAACATAGAATTTGTTACACTGTTTCAAAAGTTTGTTATTAAAGGACATGAGTTGCCATTTTTGTCATGTTAATTATTTTTAACTAAATTTAATTTATATAAAAAATAATCAATTTAAACAAATAATTTTTATTAAAATTTTAAATTTCACTAACTTAAAAGGAAATTACAACACACTTAAAAATATACAGTATAGAAAAAAAACACAAGACACTTCAAATTAAATAAAAACAACACTTGAAATTAAAATAAAACATAAAACACTTCAACTTAAAACAAACTTCAAATTAAAATAACATACAAGACAACTTCATTTGAAATATCGACGTCATTTGTCGGATCTATTTATAACTTGCCAAAACTTACCAAACCGGAAATGTTTTTACTTTCTACACGGAAAGTTCGAAGAGCGTTTGCAAACAACATTTCATCATTTTCACTATTTGCTTAATTATGCATCAACCTACTAAACACAGTGTGAAACTGTACTGCCACTACGTTTGTTGATCTCCATTTAGCGAAGATTTGATCCTTACTTCATTGGCTCCCTACAGCTGCATCGTAGTTGTACCGTTGGTGATCCTTTTCTAGAAAGTATTCCAATCTAGGTAGTTGATGTGATTTGATCTTCATTTACATCGACCCATGCACGAGCCAAAATTATATCTTCATCTATGCTCCACATACGGGCCATTTTTGAGAGATGAAGAAGATTAGAAGATGATTGAAAATATAAAAGGGTAGGAGAGTTGAATGAATAAGGTTTGAATGTAGTGAAAATGAAGAATGATGTTGGTATTTATAGCAAATGATGGAAGGTTTAAAATTTAAAATTTTAAACCTAAAAAACGGTTATATTTTGAAAATGGGGTTTTTTTTTTTTTTGAAAAATGTGGTGTTTTTTGAAACTATAATATTTTTTTAAATGATAAAAAAAATCACAACGATCTCTTTCTCATCGGTATACCTTCACTGAGTTTGGCCACCAAAATGGGTGTGTCGGGTTAGTGGTACGGTGTTTACCGAGGCCAGCTCAAACATGCCATAGCCCACTCCGTCTAGCCTAAAAGACACTAAAAACAATATTATTTCGGTCTTGAACATATAAAAGTAATATATGTAGTTATTTATTGTTTTCCTTCTAGAAAATTCAACAATATCTAAAATGTTATATATATATATATATATATATATATATATA